TGAAGATAGCATTGGTTCAGTTGGCTGTTGGTGCAAATAAAGTTGAGAATCTATCAAAAGCTCAAGAACTCATCAGAACAGCAGCACAGAAAGGAGCATCCATAATATCTTTACCTGTATGTAACACAGTCTCTCACAGTACAAAATTAGTGCAACACATTTGTCTTTAATATGGTTCAAACAAGATTTACCGTACACTCGACGATAGTTGAATGAGAAGAAGATTTGCTTGAGATTTGACTCACATAGCAGCAACTGTATATATTGACTTATTGTATAATCTAATAATAAGTAGTAAAATTGTAGTAAAGTCTATGCAACTGGGCTGGCCCAAGCTGTGTAGCAAAAACTCTCGTCGGCTCTTGAAACAGGTCAAAGACAATGTTGTACTAGTTACCTTAAATGTATTTGAAGCACTCTTTTCTCATATGAACAATCATTTTGTTATTATTGAAGAAATCAGTTGGTAAAGGTTTAATTTGCCTGCCTGCATGCATACATTAAAATGTTTGAAATTGACCACCATCTGCAGTCTGCAGTGTAGGGATCACTGAATGATGTAGTACAATACACATAAACTTGATATTACATTTATGTTCTGAGTTTTCTCTGTAAGGAATGTTTCAACAGTCCCTATGGAACACAGTATTTTGCCAAGTATGCAGAGAAGATACCGGGTGAGTCAACAGATGCATTATCATCATTAGCAAAAGAACTTCAAGTCTTCATTGTTGGAGGTTCAATTCCTGAAGAAGACGGAGCGAAATATTTTAACACTTGCACCGTGTTTTCACCTGCTGGAGAAATGGTGGCCAAACATAGAAAAGTATGAACAACTATGTCTATTACATACATGGGTGTCTAGGTATAGGACACTAGTATTCTACATACTGATTACTGTTCATGCGCATAGTCTGCGAAGGGCAAAAGGTTTGAGCGACGACCCTTCCAAAAGCCCGTCCCACGCTAATATAACTTTCAGACGAATGGCCTTTGCAGGGTGCGATAATTCGCGTATTTCCGTACCGGAGGTACGCCAGTATTACGTTCTGGTACTTCTTTGTTTTCAACCAAGTACCATGTAGGTACGCGGAACTCTTGCTATCTGCGTGCTTGCTTTTTGCTGGTACCACATGACCAAGCCCAAGGTATTCAATACCATAATTTAGTTGGTAAATCCATAGTTAATATTATTAATAATATATTAACTATGGCATGAAACATGATTGGACTGATGGAACTAAGAAACGTTGGAGTCGATTGTTTGCAATCAGCAATTGTGTTTCTTCTTCTACAGTACCTCGTAGTGTGAATTTCAAGGTACTTTTTAGAAACATGTACTTTATAAACCTTATTTTAAAGACTAAATACACATCGAGTACTGAGTTTGTACTAGTGCAAGTACGCGACAACAACCATTGGCGTACCAGTCAAGTACAACTAAAAATCTTGAATTGTCGCATCCTGGCCTTTGCTCAAAAGGTCATGAACATTGTTTTCATTTTTAAGAGAAAAAAGCCTGTAAGAATTAAGGTTCAAAACATCGACGTTTCCCTAGTAATTACATTATTATTCAGCTCACTCCCCACCGGTACTTAACTTAGCACCATGCAGGAGAGAACTCACGACTTTAGACAGAGCGTTGACAGACTCTTTTCACATGAGTCCGCAGTGAGAATCGAACCCACGATCTCAGAGACTGAGGTGAACGGCGCTTGCTCTGACGACTGCGCCACCAAAGCCCCAACTATACCATAGTCTATATTTATTTAGTAATATTTAAATTTATATTGCGCATTTGTTTTAGGGGGGAACACGTTTAATTATGCATAATGAAGTTAATTTATAGTTTCGATTTTGTTTTCAGGTTTGAAAACCTGGTGAGTTTGTAGCATACACTCGTTACATTACTGAAGCGGAATTACGTATTTTTAATGCTTACAGTCATGTGTCTCACTGAACATTCTAAAAAATCCCAGTTACTCCTGGTTCTGCAAGAATGTTTCACTGTTTTTCCAGGGCCATCGGCTACAGATGAGTGAATAAGAGGTTCAGATTTGAGTACCGCTACATTAAGGGACTATATTAACCAATCAGATGCGTTTAATCTACCCGATTCTTTAATCTTAATCTTTAATCTTTAAAATTCTTTAAGCACGGTAGCCATTCAGCATGCTACGCTGATTTTCAATGGGCCGTGCATGCTATACAACATATATTAACCTAATTCTATAATACAAAAACATGGTGCTCAGATGCACCACAGAGCAACTGGGAGGTAGCGTTATAGTGGAAATTAAATCTGAACTACTCTATTGATTGACACGAACATTTCCATGGTTTTAGGTGCATTTATTTGACATCAACATTCCTGGAAAGATAAAATTCTGTGAATCAGAAGTTTTACATGCTGGAAATCATCTCACCACGTTTGATACCCGTATGTTGAATTTCTTCCTTTCTTTGTCTTTTGAAAAATATTTCTTTATATCTGACAACAACGCTCTCAAAAGATTCTCTATATAATCAAGTATTAAGATTTACCTAATTTGGGCGCACTGTTATAGAGGGTTAATTAAGATACCCCGGTTAACTAGTTGTGGGGGAATCGACTGGGACTATTTAGACAGTTTAAGATACAAAAAAATATCAAATGAATGTATGTGCCTAACTCCCAGTTCAAATGTCGTGCTTAATAGGGCCATTTATACAGGACAAAATAAGTCGCGACTTACATAAGACGCGACTTAAATAAGCGGAGTTATCGCATAAATGGTTCTCTACGGCTTTGCTCTTATTTATTTGCTATAGCTATAATGTTGTTTTGTTTGTTTTTGTTTTAATATGCAAGGCTAATAATTTTACGTTGTTTCATGTTTCTGGCATGTGTAGTTAGACTTTTTGTCCAAAATTTCTTAATTAAGACGCGACTTAGATAAGAACAGCTAAAAAGCCTGTTCTTATGTAAGACGCGTCTTATCCAAGACGCGTCTTACATAAGAATTTTGTACCTTTTATACGACAAATTCGCGTCTTATTTAGGTCGCGTCTTATGTAAGTCGCGTCTTATTTTGTTCCGTATAAATGGCCCTATTATGTGCCGAAGCTAATATAAATGACGACTGTGACGTAAACTCTTTGTTTCAGCTCATTTGGATCTGCTGAGGTGCAGCACATGAAAACTTCGACGTTTGAACTAAGACTGTATGACTTTTAAGCCGGTTTTCCACTTCAATCGTATCGTAGCGAAGCGTAACGTATTTCTTTGTTTCCTGACCACTAGAGTGGAACTAATGACTTCGACACAAAAGAAAATGCTACGGTGCGTTACGATTGAAGTGGAAAACCGGCTTAAGTCGTAACCACAGGAGTCTAAGAAGAAGGGCCCTATACTTTTTGCGTGAAGCGCGATGGGTCCCCTATACTTTTTTGCGTGACTGCGTGATGGGCTTATTTTACTTAGCCGTGAAACGTGATCGATGATTTTCTTAATCCATGAACGTGAAGGAATTTTTTAAATTTTTCGTGACTCGTGAAAAGGCAAAATATTTTTACGTGAAAGCATATTGTGAAGCAGTGCCTTTTTTAAGGAATTTTCACTGGGGGGGGGGGG